ATATGAAAACATTTCATTTTTTGTTATTAGTTATACTGTAAATTCAAAACAACTAATTTAACAATATAAACATTGCATTCGGCTTTTCTTAGATGCCGTTGGATAAAATGTCGCCAGGTGAACATCCCTGGCTATATCGTTATACCTACAAACCTAGAGCATTTACGTTGGCTGTCTGTTCTGGTTCGTGTGTTGTAGGTCCTGTTCAGATAACATCAGCAAGATACAAACAAACGTTTGGACTATTAACAATGAACAACAAAAAATTAAACCATGCACTCGCGTATAACTTTTGTTAAGTTTATTCTTTGTAAAGCATAAGTGATCCTTAATTTTAAGTAACTTGGATTTGCTCGTATAGATTTTGAAAAAAACATGAATATATTACTTGGTTCTAATGTCAACCTAACGCCCCCTCTCCCTCACTATCACGCCCCCTTAAGACCCCTAGGTATAGGGGATTATCGTTATATTCCTAACAATCCGATTACTTTCGTTTGTCTGTAGTCAATACTTTCTAGATATCAAATTAGATCGAATGTTTGAAGATTCGCGTTGTTTGGTTTCTAATTCGATTTCTTGCAAATTTAGACGAAACATTTCTATCGAACGGATAACTAGATAGCTTCACATATTAATTCCGCATTCTAAAACTTGAATCATGTATGCCCTGGATTTTGAAGAAAAACAATAAAATAGAAATGATTTTTAAAATGTAGGAGAGAAATGAGTAATGAATCAAATGATGGTAAATATTCCGGAAATTCTTTGTTAAAAGTTACTAAAGTACTTTTATGCATCTAATCTTTTGTACAGTCTCATCAATGTTCTACTCCATTAATTTCATGTCTTCATCTTCGGTTTTCCTGAATCTAAATATTCTATATCTACCAATTGCAAATAAAAATAATACATGTAAATTGTATTGGGACATCTATCTAAAAGGGTTTGTTAATGTGTTAATGGTTTCTTTTCTCATTCTGCTCTATAAATATCGAAATTAATGTAAATCAAAGAATACCTTTAGAAAGCTTTTTAAGATCGCGAGTTCGTGTTCTGAGACTGCAAATTTATCATATATGTGTGAGAATTTATTAAAGCACTCATCTCTCAAGTAACATTAAAGAGAATGTAACATTAGAAAACGGGATTAATCGTTAGATATAATTAAGAACACAATATTTTTCATCAATTACCCCTTTCATAATTCAGTGATGTGCTCTGTTGTACAGCAGCCATCTATTTAACATCGAAAATAAATGTAAAATAATTGATTTCAATTTGTTTAGGTTCCTATCAAATACTGTATAGATAGATGATGTCACATGGAAGGAATGCGACATAAAGATTCGTCTACTTGTTATGACAAATCTTTTTTTTTTTTTGTCATTGTCACAATCCATGGATACAGCACTTGTCATGGCAATAGAAAAATCCATTGGAATGGTACTATTAATGTTCATTCAATATTTCTTATAACCTGTATATGTAAATAGTCTAATATTTTGAAATTACAAGATCTACAATCTTTGCAAGAGATCCTAATAGATATTGTGAGCGCGTAGATTCTTATAGGTCGCGATTTAATTTTGTAGAAGAAAAATCTCCAGTTTCTAAACTGAAAATAAGTTACAACTCAAGTCAAATAAATGAAAATTAGTTTTATGTTCTTATGTGTTGCATACACGTATAAATTGTTCTTAATTTATAGAAAAGATTCTTCTCCTGAGGAAAGTGAGAACATTAATGATAATGTCAGTTATCCGAATTCGCTTCAGACGAAAGAGAGGAATTTGAAGAAAATAGAAAAACGTAAAATTAGAATGATTTGAATGTGTTCTTGTTTACTGCTTTTGAAAACAGAGGGACGCAAGGGAAATATGTGAAAATTAATTATGAACCAATTTAGTGTGTCAGGAACAAAATGTTTCTCTTCTTTTTTGCTTAGTCTTATAATACAAGAACAAACTTCCGACTCGTATACACGAGCGTGTGTTTGTGTATGTGTGTACATTTAACCATACACATAAGTATACATAAATACGTGCGCAACATGTGTACTCATGTGTATTTATGGTTTAAATTTAAAGTTCAAAAATTGTAAATGGAGGAAAATAGTGATAAACAGTTAAAAATACCACGTTTGGTTTAAAAATGTGTTAATATAAAGGCAAATATACACATACTCATTGATATCATAAACATGTATACATGATACACACAGACGTGAAAAAAAACTTTATATATGTGTACCTGTAGCCATATACAGATATACTTGTGTGCATATATATATATATATATATATATATAAGTTGATTTCTGACAGTCTAATTTTGATAGAAACTTATCAGAGAATATAAGATTTCTAATTGAACGAGGGAGGAAGACATGCTATTATAAAGTTCATTCGATGTGTTCATATAATAATTGTTTCACTAAATAAAGCCCCCAAACTAAGGAGAGGTAAGGATAAAGCCCCGAAACTAAAAACAAATAAGTAATAAACAAAAACCAAACCACATCCAGAAGATACGATTCACTTCATACGTTGTAATGCTTTTGCAGAACTATGTTTTCTAAAGTAATCTCTCAGTTTGGGAAAAGAATCTGTGATAATTCTATTGTTGATAAACCAGTGATTATCGAACTAAACTTTCACGGTATTAAGCGTGCAATACCTCTTCTTTGGGATAGAAGATGTATTGGATGCCCCCAGTCAAAATATTGCTAGGAAATTGGTTTTCAAGAGACGACAGAGAAATTTAAGAATTATAAAGTTGTACCAAACAAATGTTCACTTCTTACAACTTTTTAGATTTACAACCCGTTTTGTCTATAAAATCTATTTTCTGAAAGAGTAATTAATCTCTAAGTTACCAAAAAAGAGAAACAATATAGAATTATAATCAATGTTAAAACAGATTAAGTAAAAAGAAATAAAACGTAATAAAAATAAAAACTAATGACGTTTGATTATTCAGTCTGATACACTCATCCTCTGTGTGTGTGTGTGTGTGTGTGTGTGTGTGAAAATGTAAATCCTTCCGATTGAAGGTCATATTAGTACCAATTTCATACCATCAGCACAACATTGGCATAAGATTTTTCTGATCGGTACGTTTTAATTTCAGATCTAATGGAATGCATGGTCAGTCTCTAAATAAAAATAATGATTTGATAATAACAATAATCATCAGTTACATACATTTAAAATGATTTTCTTGTCAAAAATTCGCTAAATATTTGAACCGACCACGTAAAAGAAAAAGAAATTGAATAAAATGACATACAATGTTAGTGTATAGATTGTAAGGTGCACAGAAACAGAAAAAATGGATCGAACGTAGGTTTATATAAAAATGGCGGAATAAAAATGACGAAACATCATTTCATAGATGTGTATTATTATCACGTTGGAAAGACATGATAATATGATTAGATTTCAGAGGTATCCTTAATGTTCTGAGAGATATACTGAAAAGCGAAACTCCTGTTAATCCACAGACGTGAACAGATTAAAAGTTATTTAGTGATCAGAAGACCCATTGTCTCAAAATTGGATCTTCTTGAATTGTGACGATTCTCCATCTTGTCACTCCTTTTCTCCACTAGCTTCTCACTAAGGAAAACAGCGTTAGAGAAACTGCATTGAAAATATTCACTGGTAAATTTTAACAGATTGGCTTAGTTTATTGAAAGGAACATAAATTTACATTCAAATGCACTTATTGATCATTCCACACAACAAAAATGACACAAGATTTCATACAATCATATTTATACGTAAGCATGAATCAACAGTAGACTAAAAACGTACATCCATGCATGATTGCGCACACACATTTACGTATGTATATATGTGTGTGTGTGTGTGTGGATAGGTAGAAAATATAGATAGAAAGAGAGAGACATATTATGATAGAAATGATAGATTAAAATACAAAAACAGATGTATATGCATTCATTCTCTTACCATATACACACAAAAAAAGTGACACAAAGTTTATTAGAAAGCATCACACACATGCATATATATAATATATATATCTATATATGCTCATATACACACACATATAGTTGCGTGTGTGTTTGCATGTTTGTGTGTACTTATTTGTGTGTGATTATGCACACAAACATGCAACATAAATTCTCCCAGTACACAAAGTCCTGGTGGAGATAAGATACTTTAAAATTATAAATTAAGAAACACTTGACAATAAACAACAGAAAACACCTCCCCTTATCACACTTACAAAGGTGTTGGCCTAGTCAGAGATGGATAGAACATAGTCACATCTATACTCCCCCCCCCACATGCACACTGAATAGCCATTTTGTCCAACTAGCTAATTCCAAAACACTTCTCCACCCCAACTCCCAAATATGTGACGGTTATATACAAGTTCATATGCGCATACAAATGACATATGCAGCCAGGCTGTGAGAAGTTCTCCCCTGTCTGCAATCCACACACATGTTGTAGAGAAAATGAAACACACATGATCACCCACAATATACAACATCCCCAGGCAGTAAGTAATTTGGGAAGCTTGGAGTCAGACATGCACACAGTTTATTCATACATGAAGGCCAAAAGTAGGACATAGTCAAGTCTTGTCAGAATAACTTCATGCTCACAAAAGCAGATTTATGTCGCTGGATGCATGAATATTTTAAAGTTCAGTCAACATTCACAAAATTGTGTGTAAATGATATGTTATATCCTTTCTGCATATAATATCTACACATTATTGCGATATCCATAAAAGTAAGTTTATAACAACCCAGTCAGTACTTGAAGGACTTTTGTTTATATTTTCAGATTAAATTAAATGGAAATCTTTTTAAATTGAGAAAATACAAAATTGTTTCTTTGCCTAATGAGGATTCATTAATTATTTTAGAAAGATATACCAGTTTATATCTTAAAACATATACTGAACCACTGATAATGAAAACTTGAGCTCTCATTAATTTGCCATTAATGTGAGAAAATATTACTAACCTTTTTTGTACTTGGTGAAGGCATATATCTTGGAGTAACTTGTCAAACTCCAAACTTGTAGTACCTGTTAATTAGGAAGTTTCAGTCCAAATCTTAGACATATTTTGGTAAGATATACACAAGAACACAGTCCTTATTTGAAAAATACATGTCATGCTCTCTGTGAACAAATTATTGAGGAATTATCATGGTAGGTAATTATCCAATTCTTGCAAAAATGACAGGGTAATATCAGCAACATGAACAGAGACATCACAATATTATTAAAAACAAAGTCTCATAAAAAAAAGTTTTGAATGAAACCCATATGATTAAAGTCATTGAGAAAAAGCTTTGTTTTCAGAATAATTGAAGTCATACATATTCAGAGTTACCAGTATTTATATTAAGATACACTAAAATAAGATTTAAATATTAGCTTGTTTTAAACTCAACTATCACAACCAAGTGGTCTCGTTAAATGATAATCCCTCCTACAGCATCTCATAAATAATTATCTACACGAGAGTTTACAATCATAAACTCTTTTCATGTCTTACAGACATCATGACCATGGTTTTACATTTATACTTTCAATATAAACCACAATATACTTTCTCACATCCTTGAAATCAATAACTAAGGCACGTTTGCAAGAGACAATGATATTATTCCTCTGAGGTTTGTTTTATTTGTAACGTTCATAAGGTGAGCATTTATGACTTAATGAAAGGATCTTGTACTTTATAAGTTACTAAGTAGATTCCACTATCATTTAGAACAAGATTTACACCTGCCAATATTATTTAAGTTTACTGATTAAAACAATTTCATGATTTGAGGGAGGTTTCACAAAACTGGTTTACACTCACTAGTACTCATAAAAACTAATTCATATTCAGCTAGATTTGTTAATGTCCACACAAGTCATTTCATGTCTTGAGGCAAGGTTTAATTGCAATAGATACAAGAGCATGTCCATAACAATTTGGCCTTATAGAGATGCAGTCATGATCAATACAGTCACAATTGTGGCCTCTGATTTAAGGTCATACAACAATAACATACATATATACATCAGTCAATCAACAGAACAATTTATGATTAATTCTTGGTTTCATTTTATTAGTGTTTGTTGCTAAGAATTTCATATTTTGCATATACTTGGGAAAATGACATTATCACAAAAAAGGAAAATGTATTCTTTTCTGTCTTTTTTGTTAGCATCTACAAAAATGGTTTCCATCTGAATAGCTAGCCATCCACTGGCTGCTATTATCTGAAACCAGGTGTGCAGTTTTGATAATGACTTGTAACTTTTGTATTGCAGTGGGTCCACATACTGATTGACCAAACTCAGTTATAGATACAGAGTATATGGTACACCACCACAAACCTAAGGTCTGTCTACACAAGGGCAAACACATAAATTCCTACTGGTTAATAATAAGGAGTTAATAATAATAATAATAATAATAATAATAATAATAATAAAAAAGAGGATATTAATGATAATAATAATTATTTTAATTATAATAATCATGCTTTAAAAAAGTAAACATTCTTTGTGTGGGGGCTGAAATAAATCAATTTCTTAACATACAAAAAACATAGAGCAAAAATGGAAGTAGAAACAAGATGCTGAATAGATACAAATTTGAAAAGGATTGATAGATATAATTAGTACTTTATTAAATAGACCCTCCTTTCCTTTAAAAAAAAAAAAGAAGTTTTTTGATATTTTTGACAATTTCTTGTTTCTCTCTTATTCCATTTTGATTTTTACAAGTTTTGACATTTCAGCCCGAAATGATGAAATCAAAGAAAATAACTTACTATAATGTTTTTTATTGTTGCTTGTTCTGTTTGCAGTAGTCCTGTACTTTAGCCGAAGTACTTAGAAACTGATGATGAAGACAATAAAGTAAAGAGGAAAAACCAACTCATTTTTCTGCTCTAGGAGCAGCAGATGTGCACCATGATTCCTTATCTTTTATTATTGGTGCAATGTGTTTATATGCTGCATATGTGAAAAAAAATCCATGATTGATATTGTTATAATTTTTCCCTTGGAAAACCAAAACCAAAACAAAATATGCCAAGCAAGTGTAGACACGGTTTAGGTTAGCAAACTGGTGGCAGTATTTATTGTGATTTTTCTTTTCTTTTTTCAATTTTGGGTTACATTTTGGGAAGAAGGTATGAAAAAAAATTATTTCCAGAAAAGAAAAAATATTAAAAGCAGTCATTGTTTGAATGTGTGATGATTAAATAAAGTTGGGATTAAAGTCCTAGTCTTCACTCATTCTTAGAAAGACTCTTCAGTACAGCAAATTCTCACCCTGATTGAAATGATGGGGAGAGATTAAGCTTTAGTCAAAGGAAAAATTCTTCAGAGAAAGTGACCAGGAAGTTGACTGATACAAGTAGAAAAAGTTCACAATGCAAAAAGAAAATGACATTTTTGTCAGTTTTATATTATTGTTTTTATGTCTTCAGAAGCTGGAACAAACCAACTGAAATTAAGCATTTCATTAAAATATAACATTTTTTCTGAATTTGATAATTCTCGGAAACAAATAATAAAGATAGCAGAAATTTTGTGAACTCCATAGTATATACTTTTGTTTCTTCACTTATCCAGGGCTGTGATTATTAATTCTTTATATTATTATTTGGCAAAATTACAATTTTACAAAGTGAATGATCAGTTCACTAACCACTGCTTTGTAGATTGCAAGTTGTAAAGTTCAATTCACAGTGCAGCTCTTTTTGTATAGAAATAACAAAAGACATAAGGCAGACTCTCTTCCATGTAGACCATCACTAACAATAGTAAAAGAAACTACCTACTGGAATCTCACTGATGAAATAGGTGTGCTAGTAGAACTGGTCAATATTACAAGTCATATCATAAAGCAACATTCAGATCCAAGGTCCATCCATAAGACTACAAACAAAGATCTTCATCTTCAGGCCTCCACCTACAAAATGAAGATTATGTTTGCATTACAAGTTCTCAATTTGAAATGATCAAGTGAATACCTTGAGGAATACTTCTCATGAGCCAAATTATTATGCTTTTGAAGCAGTGTAGTTTGCATTAAGAGAAAATTTTCTTTAAAAGAGACAGAGTCACTTTGTGTAATCTTGAATTAATGACACATGACATATCATTGACCATCATTTTAATTGATGAAATATGTACCTTGTATAACGAAGAAATGATAATGCATGTATCTGATATCACGGAGAAACTTCATGAGGCGATCCAGCATTCTTCTAAAGTGACCCAGAAATGTATTTTATTAAATTTTTATTAGATACATGCAATAGAAATGTATTTGTAACATGGACCAATATTTCAAAATATGTTGAATATATCACAGACCATCACATTGGAAGAGCAAACCATATATCTTGATGACATAAATTATCGATTAAATGCAACCAAGTAGTTAACTTTTGTAAACGTTTAGTAGATATATATTGTATCAGACATCAACCTTCTCAGGTCATTCACTTCATATCTCGAACCATTCATGATTTTAAAAGACCACCTATGCATCATTAATGAATGAAAAGCTGGGAAACATATATTTAACACAAAAGGATCAGTCATGTCTTTTAAAGTAGGTTTTGGAAGCTATCAGGCATGTAAATATGGACCTTGTATCATTGATTTTCTAAATGTAAAAAGTAGAAAGCTCATTTGTTTTAAATGGAATTATTCCATTTCATAATAAATTAATTTCAGAAAATAAATCTCTCTCATTTTCCATAACATACATAAAACAATCAATAAATACCATGCAAATCCTAGTAACAATTGATAGAAATTTTAAATAAACATTAATTTGAAATAACAATAAAATATCTCATCTTTCAATCAATAAGTTTCAGCAAGATTTTAATTGTATCAAGATTTACTCCAGTATCAACCAGCCTATCACAAAGAGGTACAATATACACTGATGATTTTAGAAGTCATTTCCAATTTATTATTGATTGGCTTTAAAAACATTTCTTCAGTGATAAAGAATAACTTACTAGCTGTGAGTAAAAGAGGAACTAATTTATAAGTAGAGCCAAAGTGTGAATAAAAATACAGTTGGAGACACAGGTAAATAAAATAATAATTAAACACTAAACAGAATATGTATGTAAAGAATAAGTTTGATTATAATAAAATCTTCATGAATTGGACTTTTATCAAAAAGTATTTGATTAAAAAATATATACTTAAAATGGAAATCATAGATTTATTTTGCAACAATCATGATTTGTGATAATGGGATCAATAATAATAATAATAATAATAATAATAATAATAATAATAATAATAATAATATTCATAACAAGACAGAATAACAATAGAAATATGAGTAAGTATTTAATTAATCAATTTATCATCATATTAATTCCAAGAATGAAATCATTCTTTTCTTTTTGAAACATTTGCACAAATAGGCTTCACAAAAAACAATTTTATTAATTAAAGTTATTAAATACCAGAAATTATTAACTTACTATTTTTTGACAACTCAGATGATTCTCCTATTTATTATAGACTTATATCTACATATAAACATGAACACAAGCAGTGTCTACAGAAACACTTGTCTATGATTTACATAATTGTTCATTGATTTAGATCCAAGCTAAACCTGTTATATAAGTTAATTTCTCATATACATGTCTAGCTTGAAATTCCTGACTATAAACAAATTTTATAACTTAATGCATTTAAATTGTATATTCATTCTCCTATAACATTAAATTTAAATTTATTTAGTAGAAGGAAACATACATTGGTTTTCTCCAAATGAAAGAAACATGAAATTAATAATTTTGTAAGATCATTTCATATATTTTTGATAAAAGTCACAAATATTATAAAAGCTATTTGTAGCTGTTAGAGTTGATATCAAAATAACTAACCTAACCTTGCAGTTTGCATTAGCATAATTTTGTAATTATATTTACTTTACTTATATTCAATTGATTGCTGAGGAGTATAATTGGATCCAGAAGTTGAAATTATAAGACCTTAAAACTTCTTGAAAAGCCATGATTTTTTAAATT